CAGCCTGTCGGCTTGGAACTGGGAAGCATTGGGTAGCCAGGGCGGGGTCCCTCCGCCCTGCGCGCACCTGGGAATCCAGGAGTCACCCACCACTTCGGCGAACTTGTAGCCTGAGGGCTGCGTGTGAAGAGCGTGGAAATTGAAGATGACGCGGCCTGCGCAGAGAAAAAAAATTGCATGACGGACGTCACGGACCCTTTTTCTTTTGTTGTCCTTGCCTGAAGGTGAAACTGCGAGATTTCCAGGCGGCGTGTCCAAGGCAATGACGGACTCCACAAGGCCGGGCCGAAACTCGTGGCTCCTGCTGCGACGACCAGGACCGGCGTGGGCCACTCATGCAACTCTGCAACTGCTCACAATGAACCCGCATTCTTGGCTTTTGAACCAAGTGGCATACTCGCAGTGGGAATGCCCAGGTCGGGTGCCGCCTCCAGAGCACAGCTGCACCCGCATGCAAGCAATGTGCTTGCGTAGTGCACTTTTTCGGCACCTCCCCAGCCGCAAGCAGCCCCCGGCGCTGCATGACCGCCAGGAGGGATCCAGCCAACACCGCCAGCACGCCAATAAAGATGGCACAGAAAGTCATGGCTGCCGAACACTGGGATTTCGGCTTTCAATGGCGAAATTACACAACAAATGGGCTGGTACCAAGATGTACCAAGCGACGGCCATGCCACTCTGTGATGCTCTAGACTTACTTACGTTTGCGAACAGCTGGCATGCATCAAAGTCATCCAGAACCCTTGCAGGCGCTCCAGCGGCGCTGATTTAGCTGGACCACTGTTTGCTAGCTCTCATGGCCTTTGCGCACCTTCACTGGGCATGAGCCACGCAAAACGCACCATGCGATTTGGCCAAGAAGTCATGCGAAACGCTTCGCGATGAGTATCACCTCCTGCGCTTGGTATTGGTTACAGAAGTCCTGCATCCACTGTGTGCAGCGCAGGACACGACACGTGACGCTCTTGTCCGGCCTCCCCTCCCCAGGTCCCCCAAGTTGCCGCGTTCAGTGCAAACGTTTGATGCATCCAGCGCATCGGCTTGGATTCCTTTCTTGTGAAAACTGTGTAAACAATCAGGACCCTTTTTTGAACAAGGTTTTCTGCTGGAAAGGGTTTCTGTTGCCTGGCCGTCTCGCTGCAAAGGGCTCATTATTGTTAAAGGTATTCTCTTTTGATTCGGTTTTCTGCTAAAGCAGTTGTCTGTAGACTGGCCTTTTTTCCAAACAAGCTTTGTGTCAGACAGGTTTTTCCCTCCTACCTAGCAAGGACGAAGCCCGCATTGCAGGGAGTCTGTGAGGAACAGGTAGAAGGTTCCGCTGGACAACACGTGCTTGCTGAACCCAAGTTGTAAGTGACAGTTTTGTATTTTTTGTTTTGGTTCGGATTGGCTTGGCCTAATCTGAAAACTTATGTTTGAAAAAGGTGGTCTGCTAGGGAGGGCTTGCACCGTTTTCTATCTTTGACCCTTGGTGTGAGCACTGGGTGTTGTGATTGGAATGATCTTTTCTCTAGCGAACGGGGCCTGGGTTATGCAGACTGATCCCGAGGCGATCAAGAAAACACCGGGAGGCCGTCATCGATCCGTTCTTGGGGAAGGGGGCAAGAATAGGCCAAAACACTGCCAATTCGACATTCTTGTTAGCAGCGCAGGCTTCCAGTTGCTTGCCACGCCTATTGAGATCTATCATACCTGTCCAAGTATTCTTCCCGACGCCAGCTGGACCACCTTTTGTTGCGAACACTCAGCCATACACTTTTGTAAAATCCTGTACTTACGGACTTCGCTGGAGGCTGGGAGCTGGGGATTGCGACAGGACGTAGGACGCTTCGGAAAAACTCCTCCATCCCGTGGGTAGAGTGCAGCATGCCACGGTGTGCTTGGCCTCGGGCTCACATCCAGATCATCCCACATCAGCTCGTTGATCCAAGAGCACCCAATGCTCGCACTTGACGTGCTGCTGATAAGAAGAGATTTCCTCTGCAGTGGACCCGTGTGATTCAGCTTTGGTTGGAGGGCTTCAAGCAATGGCTTGAAGCCATTAACAAGAGTCCTAGGGGGCCATTGCTCCACTAAAGCCGAAAGACTTGCACGCTGAGAGACCAACAACTCGACCTCGCGACATCGGGGCGAGAGCCGTCTGCAAGAGTTCCGTTTTGTAAAGTTTCGGCTTGGTGGCTTGGGGTTTTGTTGGCTTGGCTTGTCATCTCGAACTAAATCGGCCAACGTCTCTGGTTTCAATGTTGGCTTCCCCTTTGCCCCCCTCCTCCGAAGCGCCCTGACCAGCAGAAAGTCTTCTCTAACAGAATCGACAGAAGACCTTCGCGAAGAGTCTTCGTTGCAGAAAACCCTTACAACAGAAAACCTTTGTAGATCTCCTGCTAGATTGAAACTCCTGGGCGACCGCCACTCAACCGAGGAAATGAAGGGCCCTACCCGGCCCCGCCCCGGCAAAAATTAACAAAAAACGAAACCAAAACCAGTGTTCCTGCGTCTCGTGCCAATCACACATTTCGCTGAAACGTGTCCCAAGCGTGCCGCGTGTTGTCTAGCAACGCTGCGTCCTGTCTCACATGCGTCACGAACACATCCCCGTGTCCATCCGTGTGCCCTGCATCCGGCGCTGCAGGCAGCACATAGCCACTCTTTGCTCTCGGAAGCGCTCATGGAGGGCCTACGCCTCCGAAGGGCATGAGCCACTCAAGTTTCAAGAGCATGCTCTTAACACCTCCTGTGCTTGGCAAGGGCCACATCGCGTCATGCAGAAAGCTCTGTGAGAACTTCAAGCAGAAATGGACTGAGGTGTCGAAAACTGCGCTTGTTAAAATTTGTCTGGACGCTGCCGCTCTACGATTCAAGCCAGACTTGCCCTGGGGCGGGATCTTCGCCGACGCCATGCTCAAGATTTACACCTCACATCAGTTGGGGTATCTGTGTTTCGGATGGTGGCTAAAGGCCTTTTCACAGAGAACAGGGCAGGCCTGGCATACGTATTAAGCAAAACTTGGAGGTCTCGTGCCTCACTCACGAGAGGCTCAACCGCGGCGGGGTCGTGCCTCTCTAAGTTGCTGAAGCTAACATGGTGTTGCCTCAAGATGCAAACGACATCTGAATTCCCAAAAGTGATTTGCAGATATTTGCAGGATCCGGGCAGAAACAGCAGTTGCCGAGCCCTGGGACTCTGCCAGAGGGATGCTTGATGGCCCTTTGCCTTCCACCAACTGTCCCACATTCGCCCAAATCAAGTCCCACACTACACTAGGCGATCTTGTCTTGGGACACCCGACCATCCCTGCCACTCAAGATGCCAATGTGCGGCTTTGATCTTGTGTGCTCAAGCCCTGCACCGAATGCGATGCCTCTGCCCGAGATGGCTGTCCTACACAGTCCCAGATGTCCCTTAAGTTTCTAAATTTGAATGAAGACAATGGCCATCGCGGGCTCCAGGCTCCGTCTGGACTCGGTGACTGGTGACTATGCTTCCTTGGCACAGAGGTATGCCATGCTGTGCTCTCCAGGTTGCTCGAGGAACTTGAGCTGGCAGGTTCGCAGAGCTTTTGCACCTCAGCTCGACAGAGTTCCAGTTATTGCCTGGGTGAGCTGTGCACAGAGGTCTTAGTCCAAGCCAAGCCCCCAGCCATCCTGATCCTGGCAGCAGCTGTTCTCCAATGGGTTGCAGCTGCTTCCCTGCAGAAGCGGCCCTAGAACACGCAGCACCAACCTCGACTCTTAGACCACATGCCAGAATGTAAGACGAGAACACCTGGAGTCCGGAGGGCTGGGTTCAATTTGGGCCCTCGAGCCTCCGCAACGCAAGCCGTTTCTGCACCCAGGTTGTCCATCTTGCCCTTGCAGACCCGGTGCTTCTTCGGCCCGTATTCAAGCTGGCAGGTCATGGGCAAGCTGCTGCGGTCCACTTGGCAGCAGCTAAAGTCGGAAGTGCACTCCTGACCTGCTGGTGTTTGAATTATGGGTTTCGACGCTCACCCCAAACAACAGTGAAACAAACCAAACCAATCAAGCCCTCCCCCCGACCTTCTGGCGTGCAGCTGGGATCTGGCAGCTTCTGTTCCGGGAATTCCTCTCCACATTGGTAGGCCATGCCTTCATCCCCGGCCACGGTGCTCGGGCGCAGGCGGCAGGTCATCAACCCTGGCCCCTGGCAACAACGATTCGCCGTTGGAGTGCAGGAGCTGCCCAGATCAACACACGGTTCCGGCTCACTGCCCCGGAGGTTTCCATAGGCCATGGCCATCAAAAGACTCAGCACGATGCAAACTCGGCTCATGGCGGCAGATAAAAACCCCGGGACAAGTTGCGACGGGAGCTCGAGAATCGAAAATGCTTCAGTCTGAAGGGTTCGCAGGTCGCAGAGTCCGACGAAACTGGCAACACGAGGCCCTTGCTAAGTCTCTGAACTTTCTGGCGAACGTGCCGCTTACGCTTACGAGCCCTTTGCAGGCTCGAATCTCTTGGAAATGATGCTACACGCGTCGGGATGACGGCATGTGCTGTACACAACCTTTTCTTGTTGCTCCTGGCGCCTGCCGCGTTTCCGCTGGCAACGGAGACTTAAGACAGATGTACGCCCATGGGCGTAGACCTGGTGTATGTTCAGTCGGATCTGTGGCAGCAGCCTGTGTTTGCTGCTTCTTGGGAAAATGCTCGTACCTGGTGGGTCGTAATGAAGCAAACACACGACCCGTTTGCCTTCCTTGCTTCACACCTAGGGCTCTAGGACATGACATGCGCAAAAGGGGCTTCTTGACATGGACTCACGAGACAGAAAAGCTTTTAAAAATTTGGCCGCTGCGAGACATCAAAGCTTGCATGTTGGAAAAACCATGCGCTTCTGGGCGGCGCTTTTCGCGCATGCTCTGACGCTCCCTGATGGCCTTGAACCACGACGTCGGTGCATCTATGCATTTGGAGGACTGTGCCCCAAGCAGGCCGTGCTCATCCGGTGGTTGTCGAGAGCCACCTGCACTGCCGTCGCATGTTCAGTTGGCCTCGATGAAGCATGCAGCATGCACACCAGATGGATGTGAAATGTGTAAACATCCATGTTTTCAAAACGGCGACCTAAGTCTTAGCACCAAACCAATCGGGGCACTGTGGCGATGTCTACGGGCACCACCACACGGTTCTGTTCAGAACCGACGATCAGCCGTCGCCCCTGCGCCTCCGCCGCAGGCAGTGACAGTTTCACGATGCGGCTGTTTTGGAAGCGTCCATGTTGATGGGGTTTGCATTTGCGTAAGCAATCAACCCAAGCTGGAGAGTTGTGACGACCTGCTTTCAAAGACTGTCTACTACTGCAGGAAGGCTCAAGCCTCAAAACGGTCTCAGTAAAGTTGGCCTGCTGGCTGGCATCGTCTTCACAGCCGTCGAGCCTTGCATACGGTAAAGATGCTTACTGCACTCTCAACAGCGCTCCAACGCGCCACGCTCGTGCACTCTCGCTCGCTCTTTCTAAACAGCAGAGATCGTCAGGGTGGGCAGGATGGGGGCAGATAAATATTCGTCAGAGCCTGGGCAGCGGAATGCATCAGAGTTCAATGTGCACCTAGACCTACCCAGCCAACAACACGAGTGCAACCACCGCATGTTCCATGCGGTTTACTCGTTGCAGCCGAGCCGCTGTCGCCGGGCGTCCTGCTAAAATGCTCTCTGATCCAACTGTCCATGAGTGAACCTACCGCTTCTGATGTTCAAGAACTTGCTTGACACCGGCAGCGCTGAGGTCCACTAAACCTTTGACCTCATGTCCCCCTGCGGCTGTGTCTGTGCGACAGGGTAGGGAGGGTTGCATTCTGGGCGTTTTTCCGCGCCTAATAGCAGGTTGAAGCCTGATCTCCCAAATCGCCATTGACTAGAGGACTTGTCCGGTACACTTTCGTTTACATGTATCTCCCGCTGGTCCCTCGCGATGATGAGAAGGCCCGTCACGACCAGCAGAATGCCGAGCCAGTAGCCGAGCAGCCTTGCGTCAGGACTTGGCACTACACCGCTTGCGTCGGGGATCCTGTGTGCTGCGGCCAAAGGCCTCCAAGCGATCAGCTGCGCCGTCTCTTTCAAGATGACGGCGGCCGAAACACTCGTGGTCACAATTGAAGTTCCTTGGCGCTTGATGACTGGGCGTGGCTTCGAGCTAGTGGCCCAAGAACCAAGAGTGAGTCGTGTCGAGCTGAGACACAACGGCTTTTGCAAATGGACTTTTGTTTGGGGGGCCAGTCCTGATGCCAAGTTGAACTAACTAAACAACCCTCGTGCAGCAGCGTGGCCAACGAAAGTTGGGATCATCATCCTCAGCAACTCTTCTCACGCCCACGACATTGACAACTTGCTTACGATGCACATACTTAGTCTGCAACCACCAAAGCAACTGAAACATTCGGGAATAAATGGAATTAACCAAACTAAGGCGGGCGTCATGGCCTCAAATTCGGCCAAGCCTTTGTTCAGCAGCACTGCATTCATGGCAGCGCAAAACAGCATACCTGTCATCCGGGCTGGCATCGACCAAGCACCCACCAAGCATCCTGAAGTGACCAATCATGAGCACTCATCCCCCCCATCTACTTTAGTTTCTTGTCTTTGCGGCCTCCGAGAATGAAGTAGGCCAGCGGATCATACCACATGTCCCAGTTGCCCTGGCCAAGTGACACACACACACACACACACGAAAGACAGTCCAAAAACGGGTCAAACGCTGGCCTCATCAAAGGAAGTATGCAATACTGTGGCAGTGGAGGACATGAAATACCTCTGACCGGCCTGCGGCGCAGCAGGTCGGTGACCTCACGTTTTCCTCCCTGCGTTTCTCCGGCCGAGTGGCAAGGAAGCCTCCCGCCATTGCCAGGAGCAAACCCCGCCGGGCCGGCGGCCGCACGCCTTGGCAAAGATCGGCCGTGGCCGCCAGCCCCTTTCAAGACACCGGTGCAACCCAGACTCCATTCTTTGGCGGCATAGTGAGGCATGCGAAAAAAGATAGTGAGATACAGACCTGCACACCAGCGACTGCAAGCAATCTGCGAAGCAACCAGTGGTGTCGCCAATAAAATCCAAGGTCCCGACGAGGATCCACCTTGCAGGCGCAAGGGCGGTTTTTCTACTTGGTAGAGCAACACCGGACGGAACTCCGGCCCCTGAAATGAAGCAGAGCTGCCCCAGAAAAGATCGGCTGACAAACTTCTCTCGAAGATCCTCCATGGTCTCCTTGCATTTTCGAGGATTGGTCAATCACCCTCACTTTGGCTCCGACGTGCTAGGATCTGCCAAGCTTCTGGTGGCTTGCTGTGGGGACCGAACATTGGCGCTGACACGGCGCCCGCGAAAACAAATCCTGTCGGAGTTCGGCGGCGAAGGAAGGCTTGCGGCTCGATGCAGGTCGATGCCCGACGGCCGGGCCTGAGCCCAGCAATTTGCTGCTCGTGAGGCTCTCGCCCAGAGTGTAGGGGGCCAACCTCAACTCCAAAGCCGCCAAAACTCGCAGGAAAAGCTTCCATCATGTGTGTTTCTCCCTTCGACCCTTCGACCCGAGGTGGAATGGGTCCTTGGCAGGATGTTCCAAATTACATCGAAGCCATCCAGCGGGGCCAAGAGCGACCTAAGCCACGCAGAAGTCGGGCTAAGCAGTGCAAGTCCCTCCCTCGGCCCCTGATTTCTCAAGCGAGTCCGGGCCGGGTGGCTGCGGCGCGAAAGCGTAGGCCGAGACCTCGCAGAGGGGCCCCACTGCCATCGCCATGCTCAAGCCAAGGAGTTTGAACCTGAGGTCATGAATAAACGAGAGAAGAGTTGAAGCGGGGGGACTCTTCTTGGCGAAGGCCTCCACTTTCTCCGGGACTCCATGATTGCCGCATAGCGCAGCAGCTGAAGTCCGAAGATGATGATGAAGGTTTTGAACAATATCAGGGCCACGCCTTGGTTTCAAAAGACGAGCATGATAACAACTCTGGACCAAGCATGACCACGCCAGGCTGCCGATGACGGGCATCAACGCAGGACCCCAGTTCCACCATTTCCTTGCAACACTTTCTGTGAGCTTTGCTGACCATTTGGGCCGGCAAAGACCCGCCGGATCCCGCCGGGCCTTCCAAGTGTGATCGCCGGCAGCGCCTGCCGCGACGGCATCGGCGGCTGACACGGGAAAGCTGGAGCAGCTTTCGGAGCCCGCTGTTACTCGCAATCAATCAGTTGAGATATGTAGATTTTTCCCGGGCATCCAGTCTGACTGCCTCCACATCTGCTGTTATGCACGTGCTGGATGACAGCGAGTGCGCAGGACTGTCATTTTCAAGGCCATGAAAACGAGTAAACGCTGGCCATGAGAGAGCAGTGTCCTCGAGTGGTGGTGCACATCATGATTTTGAGCAGCACTGCGAAGACACAGAAGAATGGCTGGCTCTCATTTCTTCCTTCAACAACCAAGCTGGGTAGCATTGGCGTTGGCAACACAAGTAGTTTTGTCCTCTGCACAGTCAGCCAAGGCAGGCTACGGGCGGAGCCCAAAGCGCGCCTATCTGCCCAAATTCGGTTTCAGGACAGACAAACCTACTGCTGGACATTGAATTAAAGTCTCCTGTTGTGTCTCTGGCTTCTGTTGTACAGGGGCCCAAATGTGTCGATTCGTGCAGCGTGCGGAACGTTCCCGAGGAGACTTTTTAAAAGGCACGCACATGGGAGCGTATGACGACAGAAAAAGAATGTCAGAGCTGTTCCTCAGGAACAACATATAGACGGGCTCCCCCGGGGGCATGCAATGCAGCATTGCCCGTGGCGGAGCGCCCGTGTCAGAAGCTACAAGCTGGTTAGTCCAGCGATCTGAGAAACCAAGCAAACATCTGCTGCCGCTCTCGCGTCTTTAGCGGCTGAGCACTAGCAGTGAAGGCCGGGTCAGTGTACTCAGGGACGGCTAGTAAGCATCGCTTGCTTCTGTGGACAGTCAGTTCGGTACGGAACATGTCACGTCCCAGGACACTCGGCCCTGCAGCTAGACCTGTAATAAATACACACTGGCAAATCCACAGGGAGTGCCACTAACAGATGGGCTGGGCACCAGCCGAAGCAGGGGATAACCTACCTCCTAACTCCGCAGCCATACCAGTCCACGAACGCGGTGAAACTAGCAGTCAAGCAGTCCCCGACGTTCCCCCTCGACGGATCGGCATCCTCGGGCTGGCAGCAAAAACAGAGAAGCTGCAGTGACCTGGTGAAGCAGACTCAACCCTGGCCCCTCACCTCTGGCACCAACATCCGTCGCACACGTATCGTAAACCGGCCCAGATATGCTGGCATCCTTTTTATCCTCTGGGTGGAAATCGAACAGTAGTTCAAACTGCTTTGAGGATCAGGCCTGGTTTCCTGATTTTATCTGTACAAAAGCCTTAACTCGCATTTTTGCCAGGAGTGACAATGAAAATATTCGCGAATCCCCAGAAAACCATGAGATATGGGCTTGCGTTGTTGGACCTTACGTGGTCTTACCTGACTCGCGCGAAGCTGAAGCAAAAAGCCGAAACATTTGACAGAAGCCGAAGCAAGAAGCCAGGAAATTTGGCACGGACGGGAACAAACCTTGGAATAGTTTGCCCCCCCCCCCCCGCGGAGGAGAATGCCCGCTGTAGGTCAGCGGCTCAGCCTGTGTATCGCGTACGGCGCGGGGCCATCAACATCGATCAGTACTAAGTTGTATGCATCTTGGACAGGTATTAAATTGAAAGCTAGTTCTATACTCTACTCACAATAATCGATGGTGCTTCGTGTTCCCTTGCGTCTGTAGAAAACACTATAATCGCATAGATAAAGGGAAATCACTAGCTACAGAAGTTGACTATGCAATGGTGGAAGTGAAAGAAGACCTGCAAATAGGATGACATGATGTCGCATTTTTAGCAATCTGTGCTCGTTCCGGGACGGATATGGCGCACGTCGCAGGTGTAAAATGTGGCTTGTGAGGTCCGGACAGATGCAAACGCATCTGCCATGCTTTGCGGAGGATGGGCACCAAATAAAGTGCCTGTTTTCTCACCCCTAAGACCAGCAGGACGCCAATTTTTGTAAAGTCCGGAATTTCCAACACTCCACAAGAGTGTCGACACCGCAACGGCGATGAAACTACCACGTCTGGGAGCAGAATCACCTGCATGCGAAGAGAGAAAGAAAATATCCAGGAGGATTTCGATCTCAGTCCAACACTACCAAAAATGCCAAAAATTAGCAGATTGACAGACTGTTTAAAAGTATACCTGAGAGAAGACTTTGAGATCCCTTTTACATCAGACTTGCATGTCGCGCCTGGTTATGCCTTTGAGATCCCTGAACCTGAAACCCAGATCGCAGAGATTGCTTCAAGAAGGCACCCAAAAGAAGTTCGCGGGGGACGGAGGGGGGTGGCGTCAGAGATCGCTAGGCAAGCGTTGCGAGTGGCAGGAGGCTCATCACCACAATTGCAACAGATCCTGCAAGCTCTTACTACCATGACTTTTGAACCCAGGCTCAGATCCTGCATACCAAGACTGCTCTTACTACACATGACTACCATTCTCCTGCTACCACTGCTCACTGTTCGTACGATTACTAGTCTCACATAAATAATACAACTGGTGGACCCCAGGCCTAAGCAATTCCATCGTTGCCACCCCACGCCTTCCAACAAAATCTGACCCCTTGAAGTGGACCCCAACAGCCATATACACTGCCAACTAGCCACGGCTAGCCACAAGTAGCGAAGTCAGCATCCCACTTGCTGCCGTCGTCCTGGGAGACGAGAATGAGCCGTGGCTTCCAACCCCCCCTGCACTGCCTACATTAGACGGCCATCGATCTGTCACATCGGCTTCACTGGCGGCAGATGCTAACGGCTAGCCGCTAGCCTGCAGCGTATTCTGTTAGTACAGCCTGCGCTCCATGAACCCTGAACCAATCCAAGTTCGAAGCGACCTCGTAGGGAACGATGGGAGGCATCTCCTTCGCTTGAGAAAAGTTCGAGTAGTCCTTGGGTGGATTGTGGACATGCGCACCGGTGCAACATTGTCACAGTCTCCGGCCTTACTTCGCATGGCGACTCTGAGAGCTGCACTCTCTTGTTTTTCACGACGGGCCGATAGGGCGGCTGCATCCTCGGAGCCGGGGTTTCAGGCAAAGTGGAAGCACAGCAACAGCTCTCGACAAAAGCTCTCAACATTGGAAATACGCTTTTTCTCGCAGCCACTCTCTTCGCGGCATACCCGGGTCCTCAGCCCAGGCTGTTTAAACACCGCAGATGCTGTCATGTTCTGTACAGACAGCGTGACTCGTTCAGGGGTGATACATGTTCGATCTCGACGGCTTTGGCATAGATCGTTGACTCAATACCGAAAAGTTCAGATTCTACGGCTTGCATCCAAGGCGATCCGGTTGAAAGCTGCAGACTTAGGAAGATCTACCCGGAGTCGAAGTTCCCATCACTACTAGTCATCCCAAAACCGTCTTTCCACGAATGTTCTTGCCAGCGTATTGAGCCTTCTTTCTCTCCAGGGCCTGGGGAGCGATGCTGCCACCTTTCGCCTGGGCTGAGCGAAAATTGACGCGGGGTTCGCTCCGATGTCAACACGAACAAAGACACCGTAAACCTGTAACTGCAACATACCGAAACCTGTAACTGCAACATACCGCAGCCTAGTTAGACGGCATCTTTCCGCTGGGAAGCCATCTGCTTTTGCAGATGGCGGATCTTGCGCTTGGTCATCTTCCGCTCCTTGCCGGCCTGCGACGTGGATCGGCATAAGGCAAGCTGCACGGGGAGCGGTGGATCAAAGGCAAATCTCTGCGGCAACGTCCAAGCAACACCAAGTCCACATCAAAGGTCCGTGGCTTCCAGGCCTCCAGGAATGCGTCGAGATCACTGAAGTCTGACTCGGAGTCCTTGAAGAACTGCCGACCCAGAAGTCAAGTGTTTGGCTGGCCTTGGAAACCTCCCTATCGAGTGAAAAACTCCCAACGGTCCTCTTCCTCGAGCATGTGACTCTGCGGACCAACACTGCCTTGGAGGCATGTACTCCACTGGTCTCTGCTCCATTCACCTCATGCCTCCGAGTGGGTGAGCGGCGACCTAAAATGATGCCCTGTCACGTGCCGACCGCAGTTCCGCCTCTATGTCGGTCAGTGTCTATGGTTTGGGGGCGGGCCGTGGGTGCAGAACAGATGCCAACTGCGACAGGAAACACGACCAACCAAACAAACTAACATACAGTCATCTCTAAATGCATAGACTCAGACACACATGCATACAAGCATACGCACCAACATGCAAACATGCATAAATGAATACACTGCATACATGCATACTTGCATGCATCCACTTTCGTCAGCACTCGCACTCGACGGACTCAGGCGAGGCTTTGCATGCATACATCTCATTCATTCATTCCTGCTTTGCATTCAGTTCTATTCCTGATACATTCATTCGGCATTCGTTCATTCAGTCACTTCATGTCATTCCTTTCCTTCACTCACTCTTTGTCTCATCTCATTTCATGTCCTGTCATTCCAACCCAATCCATCATTCGGCCTTTATTCATGCATTCAGCTCATAATTCGTCTCGTCCATTCATCTCATCTTTCAGTTCATCATGCATTTCATGTCGTTTTACTTCACTTCATTTTATTTCAGTTCAGCTCAGTTCATGTCATTCATTCATTCCTTCGTTCCTCCCTCCCAGCCTTCCTTCCTTCATTGATTGTTTCATACATACGCACCTGCACACATGCACACCTGCACGCAAGCACACCTGCACGCACACATATATGCCTTTCATGCCTGCATTACAGCATTCCACAGATGAGAAACAAAGATACAGATATGGTCCAACCGGGTTCTTCCTTCCTTCCCTAGAAGGCTCTTTCTTTCTGTAGGGCTTGAGGGGCGTGCGAGACCCAGCTGGCCAGAGGCGTAGCAGATTTTCAGAGGGCAAGTTTGCGAATGCTCAATGCAACGACTTTTGAGTGCTCTCGGGCCTTGATTCCAAAACCCGACAAGCTGCCGTCTCAGGCTCTGCGGCGCAAGCAGTGTTTTTTTCGGAATTTAGTGAAACAGCATCTGCGTCTATCTGTGTGTGTATATATATAATGTAAAACATGTATTAATGTATAGGTCACCCCCACCCGCCTCTTCCACGCGGCTGCACAGTTGCTTCTTTACATTGGTCCACTACCCAGAGATTCCGAAAACACCGTTAATACCGATACCATAGCGCCTTTCGCCATGTGCATGCAAACCGTGCTGCTGCATGTCGTGGGTTTGATATGTGTGTAAATCTAGCGCCGGATCTCGGCCGTGTTGGGGAAGCTGAGAATGTTGGAGGGTGTGGTATTTTGTTCATGTAGTGCTAAAACACCTCGTGTTTTTTTTTGCGTTTTGTAGTGTTTTATTGTGTGTCGTTTAACAACATTTCTCTGGTACCAAAAAAACTATAATCTCTCTTAACAAGAGTGTGCGTGGGCCATCTCTTTGCCACTGGCCGTGAAGCATCCGACTCTGATGGGGCCTAGTGACTCTAGAATTTGGTTTACGAAGGAGAAGATACAGAAACGTTTTTTATCATTGAATCCCTACTCCAAAAGCTGTCCTTTGCCACATAAGAAATGGGAAAACTGCTCTGGAGTTTTTAATTTCTTTTGCATATGAGGGCGCGCAAAAACGCTCTTAGGCGGCAAGAAGTAGGAGAACTCCTTCAACCTTCCAAACACGAAGCAGCAAAGAAAGCTCGTGTTCATCTTGTGGCACGATGTACGACAGCTATAGCAAACAGCCATGTGCGTAGCAATCGCTATCTGCTTTTCGACTCGCACACTCGCACAGTCGCAGGCACGGCTTCAGGGTCCATCGCTATCTGCTTTTGAGGATACATGACGAGGCAAAAGAAAGCTACTGTAAGTTGGGCCAGCCTCATACGTGTACCTACCAAGCAAGAGTAATACAAACTCCTGCTGCTCCAGAAGACAACATACGATGGCATCTGTATTCTTGGAAGACTGAAGAGATCTCCTTTCCATGTTGTGATGCGGACTATGACAGCGTCTAAACCACAGCGACAGACAGGGGGACCGGTATCGTATTGTCAGGGGAGGTGGCTTCAATAAAAGTCTTTCGAACTCTGAGGCATCTTGTTCGTTTCCTATAAGATACCAGTAAACAAAACTCATTTTGTCTGCTGATCACATTTCGACGCTCACACTCGCACAGGGCAGGCAAAGCTCCACCTGATCACATTTAGGGAGTGTCGCTTGAGGATTGCAAGAGAGCTACTGATTTTGGTGCTACGTTGTATGACAGCTAAGAAAGAAAAAGCCATGGACATGGCGATCGGCATCTTCTCCAGGGCATAGCACGGCATCATTCAGAGTTAACTGAATGAAAACGCCTGTCTCATAGGAAAGAGCATAGGATGTCCCCATTGTTTTCTCATGATAGCAAACGCAAACAGTTTCCTACAGTCTTCAGTATGAGACGAAATTAAGTTCTAGATAGGCTTGCGCTGCTCTAGCACCAAAGCGGCATTCATTATTACCGCGTTGGATCTGCAGGCTGTGCAGCTTGCCGAAAAGGCTTAAACCATATTCGAGAATGCTCAAATACGAGAGCCAGTGCTGCCAGTGCCATAGATCCAAAACACTATAATGCTCAAAAAAACCTTTCCCAACCTCAAAACTGACCAAACGTGAGCATAGCAGCGTTTCGTGGCCTAAGCCTCACAAAACAGTGTCATGCCCCAAAAAAAGTGCAGCTTTCCCAACCTCAAAACCCACGAAACACTGCAATTTTGAAGGCCTGGCCGTACATGCCACAATTTTTTGACATTTTGTGAGCATTACAGCATGTCTTAAGTTCTGATGTTGGAAATTTTTGTTTCTTAGCATTACAGTGTTTCGTGCGCACCAAGAACCACGAAAGCGGATCTTGGGGCTGGGGGGGCATATATCTCTATCTATCTATAAATATATATATATATATATATATATATATGTAAATATATATATATATATTGTAGAAAATAAAGTGTGTTGTCTGTACTGTAAATTAGATATGATATTCTTTATCTTACAACTTATATGTTATATCTTATTTGTGAAAGATTATATTGCATATTGCGTATCATATAATACCTGTTGTGTACCACATATTATATATACTAGATATAATATACTGTGTACTTTATACGAATTATACATATATATATATGTGTGTGTGTGTATGTATATTTACATATATACATATGTAAATACATAATTATAAATATATATATATATATATGTGTGTGTGTGTGTGTGCATATTGTATAATATATGCTATGCATTACCTGTTGTATACTGTATATTGTATATTGTATGTTTTACGTTGTATGTGATACACTATATAATGTATGTTATATGTTGTATATTACATCTTAGATTTTCTATGTAATGTGCTACATGACATATCTTTGAATATAATTATGTATGCTTATGACATATTACATATATGCTTTTCCTCATTACATATTACACATTGTATGTCATATCTTTTATCTTAACATGGCATATTATGTTGTACATACACACATATATATATATATATATATATATGTGTGTGTGTGTATATATATATATCTATATGCATGAATGTTTCTCTCTCTCTCTCTCTCTCTCCTGGGCTTGAGGGCCGTTCAAGGCCCCCGGGCTTCAAGCCCACCCGATCTTTTATCGGGACTAGAGGCGTGATGTTTCTCTCTCTCTCTCTCTCTCTCGCGCACGCGTTTTCTGTGGCAAGACCCTCAGATTTGCAGATCGGCACACTGGACTCGCAGCCCGGTGGAAACTCGCAGTGCAGCAGCTGCCCAGTGCCTCGGAGTTGCAGCAGTTCCACGGCCACGGCCAAAGCATGTGCACGCAGCATCGCTTCCGCGTTGAGGCACGTCCGCGTGTCCTACGTCCGCATCGCATCAGTCCATGGGCCATGGCACAAAAATCGCGGAGCACTCGCCGGGCAGCCCAGGTCTCATCTGGCACACCCACTCTTAGGAAGTGGTGCCGGTGCGTCGCCAGGCCACACAGAACCTGCGAGGCAAGTTTTTACGGCTTCATGCCTGCCTATGCCGTCGAAAGCTCCTGATGCGCCATCTCGTCCGAGGTCTCTCCGACGCCGCGGCGGATGGCACCGTCCCGGACCTCCATGTATCCCACAGAAGAAGCGCCAACTCATTCCCAAATCATGGAGGATTCTTGCTGGCGTCAGGGAACCTCCGAGGCACTGACACCGTACCTGATCAGGGCAGGAGCAAGTGACAGACCACTGCGATTCCTTCTGCCAGCCTCTTCAGGATCGGTTCAGGGCCGATCTTGCCGACGATAAGCCGAATGGGATCGATGAAATCCCGGAGCTCATCGAGGGGGACGGTTCCGTTGATAACCAGATGTGCCCTGGTGGCTACCACCGATGGAAAAACCAGGCCCGGGCAGTCACAGAGAGTTATATTAGAATCACTGAGCTCCAGAGTTTGCAGGTGCTTCGTCTTGCCGGGAGTACGGCTCATCGACACTTTCTTCGCCCCGAAAAGAGCATTGATCACCGAGCTTTTCCCAACATTGGGGTAGCCCACGAAGCCTACAATGCCTCTCCTGGAGCTGCTCCCAGGAGGCATCCGGGCTTGCAGCTCGTCCAACAACCGGCTGCAGTCCGCAACGCCACTCATCCGGTGCTCTGCAAGAGGACCGTGCGGCGGAAGACGTCGGGAGCTCGCGGAACTTTGCGCATCGTCCAAATGCCCCAGTTCCTCCTCTGCATCGCTGTCAGCGAGGTCGCTGGTGTCCTCCTCCTCGACCTCATGCGCCTTCTCCGACAGGCGATTCGAGGATGCAGAGGCCTGCTGCCTCTGGAGCTCCCGCAGGGCAGAGAAGAAGATGGTCTCCACACTCCTCTCTTTCCAATAAGCTGTCCACTGTTCGCGCTGTTCTGCGTTCAAGAAGTCGGCCTTCAGGGCACTGGCTCCAGTCCGTCGGTGCAAAAAAGCCCAGGCCTTGTTGAGCAGGAGGAGGTGGCGTTTGTTCGGAAACTGCTCGATGTAGCGCTCCAGATCCCGGCATCTGTAAAATTCAGGATCCCGTGCGTCCAGGATCTGCACGAGGACCTGACGAGCAGGGATCCGGACCGGCAGACTGAACGAACGCCACAGAGGTGCTCCGAGGCGCGTCACTGCGCTCGACGCAACGCCAAAGCTGGCGCCAGAAGTCCAGATTTCGCTCGTAAGGCGTCAATACCAACCCATCCTCAAAGGTTCGAGAAGCAGTACGAATGGTCGTAGTTTGGCTTAGCACATGCGAGACCGGGCTTGCCCTGTCCTCTTCTTCGAGCTTCGCAAGCCCTCGCCTCAAGACTGACTCTAGAACTTCTCGTATCGGCGATTGAACCCCGGAATCTAGCCCTTGCGAAAGAACCCAGCATGCGTGCGGGACGTTTCCCTGTGCAACATGCCGGAGATTGCTTCAGATTCAAAGGTCTCTCTGTGTTGATTCGTCTTCGCATGGGAACTGACAAGCCGACCTGTCGGGAACTTCGGGGGTGCCCTGCCTCCATTCGAGGAAGGCTTGGCCCTCGGCCGAGGCGAGCTCTTCTGCAGAAGAAGCCTGGCAGATGGCGCACCGCTCAACACCCCGGTCCTCGGCCCTTAAGGCGGGTCTGCACGTCTGCTTAGCAAGTCTTGTCTTGCGCTGTGCTTTGGTTCTCCTCTTTGAAAAACCAAACGTTCTCGCCTCTTTCCAGGCCGGGCGCCACGGGATGGGCACGTCCACCTTCTTGGCCTCAGCCTCCCTCTCCTGAGCTCGACCCGTGGTCCTGTGCTCGTGGAATATGACGACTGGAATCTGAAGCCTAAGTCTCGCGGGTGGCTGCCGGATCCAAAGCTGCTCGGTAGATGATCTCCTGAGACGCAAGTAGGCTACCAAGCCCACACAGTTGCTCGAGCCATCTCCGAGGCGAACCCCTTGCTGCATTGTCGGACTCCAAGATAGGATCAGGATCGCATGTCTGTACCTCCATTGCAGTCTGCGGCTCTGTCGTGCACTCGACAGCTTGACCTGCCGGGTGCGAGAGAGAGACTCTGATTCCGTCCGCTAAAGCCTAAATCCACCACCAGCCTACTGTGGGGCATTATGCAGCCGTACCTACAGTATGGCAGAAGCATCTGTCCGGATCCCTCTTCTGTTAAACCCCGGAACGCATCATCGGACAGCCTCTCATGGCGTGGAAGTCGGCCTTCGCAAGCCTCAGTCCGAAGGGTGGAGCATCACGGAATGGACAGTGGCCACACACAGGGCTTCCATTGCTTGCGAGGTTCTCTGCTTTGGCGATAAAATCATCCAGCGAGGTTTGCTCGAGCACCGACCTATGCGCCTTGTCCTCCGCGACACCGCTGGCCTTGTAACCCTGTTCCGCACGTTTTCGGCGGTCATTAGCCAAAGAATTGCCCAGCCCGGCGCCGGACTTCTTGCGGGTCATGGCGGAGAGGACGAAAAAGCTCGAGCCCTGTTGTCTGCATCAGGCAAATCAGGCAAACATCGAAGCCTTAATCCACAAAGCCCAGAAAGGGGCCACTGCACCAGCCCCCGATGAACTCCTAAGGATAGATATTGAGGCCGCCGCTTGAGCGTCTCGAACGCTGTCCAATCGAAACCCTTGTAGAAAGGGTGCCTGATCTCGTTTTGCTAGCGCATAAATAGCCGTACAACCCAACTTCCTGGATTCTTTGAGCGATTTTTGAAGACTGGCCATGATATCGAAAACTGAAGGAAAGTCCATCCTATTCGGTATGCATCTGTGTCTGCAAGCGCAGCTGTTTGTGTGGCAAGCAGCGCAGAGGACAAGTGCCCCGTTGCAATGGTGCTGCACTGAAGGCTTGCGTCGATGTTTCAACCTTTCCCCTACTGCTGGGATGCTACATGTAGCTCAGTGCTGCTGGTGCTCGGGAGCGGGGCCCCCTCGGATCAACAATAAAGCTAAACGTAGACGCAGATGAAGGATCATCAGCCCACGCCCTGACACTTCATCATCACCATCATCAGTATCACCATCATCACCAGGCTCTCGACGTCCGAGCGGCGACTTGATGTTCCGGCTGCCACCCTTCTTCATGGGAAGCCTCTCCGAAGGCTCGTGCTTGCAGAGGCTCTTCACCAAATCCTGCAAAATGGCGCGGACATTCCTAATCCAAGTGGAAATGCAGCTGAGTGCCTAAGTTTCCCATCCTGCCGTCTCTGTTCTCGGCAACAGTTCGCCAAAGGGTAACTCAAGAATAAGTGAAACGTCAAACTAAGTGCAGAGGGGTTCTTACCGCTCAAAGGCAGGGCCCTTCCACCAAAACAGACTAGACATCAGTTTGAACCACACAGCGCGCAAACATAACAGCTCCCTTGTAGCTGCCAGCTTAACTGTATACAAATGCGCATGTAGGGTACCACAATGTACCACGGCTCGCTGGCTCGGTCGCAAACCAAAAGGAGTCAAAAACAGGCAGGGTTCACCAACACCACAACTTGCCCGTAACATGCATCACGTGACCATCTGTTCATCTACCCAGCGACAATTGGTTTCCTCTGTAGCGCTTGCTGCATTGTGCTTTGGCAGGCCTCGCGAGATTTTGGGCCTGCGTCACATCAGCAGTTCGATGCTTGTCAGCATCCTTTCGGGAGTTCTTAGAACTGGTGGAGCCTCGTAAGATTTCTTGTTCACGAAGGCTCGGTCTTTCTTGGCACATCTTGAACCTCGTGCTTCCTTGTCGCATTGGTAGTCGGACAGCCAGGCGACACGGCCCCCTTCGTTGATGAGAAGCCGAAGAATCTTCCACGCGAATAATTTGTCCAGGACACCACACAGCAGCAGCACTCATCGAAAGACTAGCACCATGCCAGCAAACTGGACTGATGCAACTCTCAATCAAATGTCTCAAGAATTAAAACGGGAAGAGTCAATGAAGCCCGGGAACAAGCTTCAAGACTCGAGCACGATGAGCCCACAAGCCGAAGCCCTTCCGGCAATGCAGCCGCCCCCAAGCCTACAGCCTACATCTCCAAAAAGCTTCCAGCGGCTGCCGCACTCCTCGGCTGAGCCTTTGCACTTGGGCGGAAACGCCACCTTTTCCAGTCATGCCCAGTTCGCTCAACACTGGCTGATAGCTCTGCGAGCATGCAAGCCTTCGCGATGCCGCGCATGATTTTCTGGTAAGTCCTTGGGGCGAACTTTCTGCTGCGGACCCGCAACCTGAAATCACGGCTGGGGTCCGGGCTGCATTGGGTAGGAAGACTCGAAAGGCGGGTGGCCACCTCACAGTCAGAAATAAGGCATAAGGCCTCATAAGGCTAACAGGCATGAGCTGGCCCTTGCAATCTCTCCGCGTGCGACTCTGTAGAAGAAAGGAGGTGCAACTTCGTGGCATGAGATCGCTTGAGCCACAGCAATGCTGATCAGGTTTGCCAAGTGTTTCTGTGCCCCTGTCCGCCGGCTTGACTAATTAGAAGACGAGATAGCCGCCCGTTAAAAAGCCCACTCAAACCTGCATCCCGAAGTTTAACAAGTCAAGTTCACTAAAACTTCGGCTTGCCCTGGCCATCCCATGCACGATGGTACCATATCCATAACACGAGTTAAATCAGCTGGCTGGTTTTCCCCGTCCCTGGCAATAAGCCACACGCTCAGAAGTCAGGACGAATAACACGGTGGACGTCGTAATACCCATTTCAATTACGCCTTAGAATAATGAGCAGCGGGCGTCAGCCCTCAGAGCCCGAAGAATCCTTGGACGAGCCCTTAGAACCTTAGAGCCCTAATTAAGCGCTCCTCTCAGAGCCTCAGAGACCTGAGAGCCCTGAGAGCCCTCATAACTGTCTTGCCTGTTTTTTCGGATATACTCGTAGTATCGATGACTCCGGTAAACGGTCCCATTGAGCCCGTGTCCACGTCGTCCTATGAATCTGCTTTGAGACGGAGCGGGGGATAGCCGATCGTGGTGCTCATTTTCCCTGGCCCTGGTCCCGGTTGTAACGCGTATGTGAGTTTTCGCACCCCGTTTTTCCGAACCAATGCGACGCAAAGAGACAACGGAATGCTCGCAAACATGGGGCAAGCGAGGCCAACGCTGAGGAGCTCGAAGAGAAAGATGCCTAGCGTCCACCAGTCCACTGCATTCGTGTGACCTCGATGGTGGCATCATACTCCCTTGGGTGACATGACGTGGCATGATGCGACTTTAAGACCGCAGCCAGTAGATGCGATCAGCTCTGGTGCAAAGTAGTCCGGCGTGCCGCAGGCGGTGTATGTCTTGCCAACACAAATCTGACAGGCAGAGGCCGGCACGTACAGCAGCGACCAAAGCAACCCCCCTAATTCATGCATACCAAAACAAACTGCTTAGCCTACCGTCGCACACCTTCGCGAGGCCCATGTCTGTTAGCTTGATGCAGCCTCTTTCGTTGAGGAGCAAGTTCTCCTGCAGATGCAAGAGTTTCTTGGCAACGTAAAAGATCCGAGCACGGAGCAAAGGCAGCATTCACGCCGTTTTCCCGCACAAGCCTCTGGCTCTCTATTCGAGCGGGGCTTTGGTGGATGGGCCTAATGGCTGTCCACCGAGTGCCCGCCGGGGATGTGCGCGTTTAGTTGCAAAGGCCGAATTTTCAACAAAGGCATCAGCTCGTCACGCGACTTTCCCAATGTGGAAATACCATTCATGTCCATGATTACCGCACCAGGAACTAAGCCAGCCCTCTCTGCCTCGCCGCCTGGAACGATGCTTCCCACACAGGGACGCTCAGCCTCCCACACGATCTCAAAGCCAAGTTTCTTTACATGCTCATCGAAATGTAGCTCAAGGCTCCAAGGGTGCGAGTCGGACTCACTGTCGGGATGTTCGGCTTCTACAGGTAGTGCTTTCAGTGTATCTTTGGGCGAAGGCGAAGCATATTCAACAGAGGCTTCGAATGCAGCAGTTGCAAATTCAGGCAGGCTGTCCTTTGCAGCGATGCCTTCACGAACCTGGCTTCCTGTGCTGGATTCCCGTGTGTGGCCAGTCCGCGAGCTTGGCGTGGCAGCAAACTCAATGTGAGGAGCTTGGGCTTGGGGGTCGAGTTCGCAGAGCTCGCTGTCGGTCCTATCATCTCGCGATTGTTGCGCTCCGGCTTGCCCTTGCGGCGCTTGCTGCACTTGCTGCGCTTGCTGCGCTTGCTGTGCCTGCGCAGTGGCTGGAGAGGGAGATCCTGGCTCAGTGGTGGCCAGCGTCGCCAGAAAGGTCTTCGACGGTTTCAGGCCGTCGCTTTCTCTCTTGGGGTTTCCTCGCATCCCAGTAGCTCCGACACCTCCGGCGACCTGTCCAATCTTCTCCGTTGTGCCCAGCCATGAACGGCTGAAGTCGTCGGCAACAACATGAAGATGAGATGCACATCTATCATCCAACTGCTTCAGAGAGCGCCGGAACTGTTCCATGCACTGTTCCTTGCTTCGCTTCAGGGCTGCTTGTTGGTCCATCATGCTGGCAAGTTCTTCCACGACTGCAGTCTCCATGGCTGCCATCTCCTCCAAACGGGCCTGAGGCCGCCGGAACCAGCTCCGGCTGTTCTCCTGGCGGGCGATGGTCTGCAGCTCGGCGGATGTCCGCTCCTTCTGCTTCAGGGTCTCTGCAACCGCTCGGGAGCAGACCAGGTCCTGAGGGCAGAGGGCACACAGTCGCGCAGAAGGCGACGTGGAAAGCCGCCACAAACACACACTCACACACTTAGACATCCATCGCGCAGCCACTAATCAATCTGGTTATCAAGCACAGCTTGATGTATCTCGAAAGCATGAAGCTTCCAGGGGGTCCGGTACCTATCTGGCCTCAAGGCTCATCTTCACTTGATCTCTGACTTTTCCACTGTACAAGGCAAAATCTCCCAGACATGCACATGAAACTGCACTGCACTCCTACTCGCAATCAACAGTTGTGTGGTCACAAGCTGCACGAAAGTGCCCATGCCGACCACTGCAGGTACGTTTACCTGTCTCAATATCACGGAGCTTCGTTGGCAGAGGCCGTGAAATGAGACCCTCTGCCCCCTGCAATTTTCTGTAATTCAGCACAACTGTCCAACGTGTTTCAAAAACGGTTCCTCTTGGTAACAGAGGTCCACACACACAGTAAGCCACTAAGGCGAAACGACCTAGGGTCTGGACTCCAAACGAGGACGGTTTTCGTCCGAATATGGCTCAGCCCAGTGAAAGGTCAATGGTACTGTGTTGTTGACAGTACTGAGTTTGACGTAGTATGGTAAATGAGTCCCGCTTTGCGTGAGTTTAAACGCACGCTTGGGGATGCGACTCCACTCCAAACTGATAGCCTCTTTAAGGTCGTCGATAATGCCTTCGGCCGGAATGTCGAAACATGCAACGGCGGCACCATGGTGGCGGCCGTCCGAAGGCAAATTTTCAATCCAAAATCCTCGGGTCATCCGCAGCGGAGGCAGATGTTTCGGTGTCCGAGGGAGAATAAGTGGATCATCATCTTTACCGCCATCGGGTGGAAGCGACGCTTGTGCTGCATCTCGTTTCATGGCGGATAAAGCTACACATACACTGGGTCGCTGATGAGTGGGAGCAGGAAAACTGTACAGGCAAATGCTCTCACTGTATGCAGGACAGAAAAAATGTAAGTCAGGTCACAAGGTCATGCCAAGAATCACTGGTAGTTTTTCCCAGCAAGTGACATGTAATCCTGTACACGTCCGGTGTCCAAATCAAAATAAGAATCAAGCGTTTCGGTTGGGACACTGTGCAACATACCAAAAATGGCAAGCACAACGGAGGTTGGCTCTGACCAGCATTTTTGCACAAGCCTTCGACCGTGCTGCAGGATTTCGGTGAAACTGCATCGGATCCCCAAGTGTGATATCACTCGCTTCAGAGGGAACGGGCGAACGCTCAGGTTTGTCCTTCTTGGACTTCATGGACTTCTGAGACTTGTTTGGTGACCGGTCCTTTTTCAGCCTTTTGGACTTCTTGGACTTCTTGGTCTTCTTGCACTTGCTGGAGGACTTCTTAACCCAAGACGCCACCTCTGTGGGTGCCGAGTCTTTGGGAGGATCAAAAGCCGAAGACCAGGAGCTAGCATCATCAGGAAGTTCATCATATGGTACCCCGTGGTCTTGACGGGAAGCCATGCCGGTGGGTCGAGTAATCAAGACGGAAACGGCTGGCGGCACCACATGAGTAAAAAAGGAAAACACGCCTTCGGCTCAACGAGAGACAGAGATAAGGGGAGAGAGAAAAGGCGAAAAAGACATAAAACTGAGCGTCACGCTCATACGCGTTGTTTTGCAATGCGCAAAGACGGTTCCACTTTAGTGGTGCAGGCGCTCTAATCCGGTAATGATGAAAGTCCCAAAAATGTCAATTGGGAAAACGAATTAAGCAGACGAGTCGTCTGCTGTTCCAGCATGACAAAAGCTCTCACGGTGATGCATCTCGCTTGCGTTTTCGGGGTGACAAAGAATTGGCGCTCTCAGTAGGGAGGTTCAAGTCCACCGAAGAAGTGGTCTGAGAAGCTTGGTGCCACTGATTGTCAGCAGCCAAACGGTCCGAAATCCAGCGAGAAGTGGCGGGAAACCAAGATTTCCACCACGTTTCATTGCCACTGGGTCCTTGAATTTTGACCCAATAAAATCGCCACGAAACAGTCGGAGAACGCGATCGGGATCGATCCGACATGGCGTGTACCGCTGAAAGCCGAACGCTGGAACTGAACAGAGCGATTTTAAAAAACCTAAACGAACACATTGCATGCAAGACTCTTCTGCATATACATTCTGTATTGCAACAGTCTTTTTTCATGCATGACAGACTCCATGAATCTTAAGCCTCTCTCTGTACATCGGATACCGGTAAAGCTTCGGTGCTTCGTACAGAGTACTCCAAGCCCGGCCAGCTGACTCCCCAATCCTGTCCTTCCCCCGTTTCAAAAGTAATCGGCCGGGGATTGTTGGGGGTGGACATCGGCAACGTAATGGAGTGGGTGCTTGACAAAATCCAAATTTTGTCGATGCGCCCTGCGGCTTCACGTACCGCCCAGCGCTTATCTCCTGAAGGGGAGTGTACAAGCGGGTGGAACTTGCACAAGTGTCCTTCATGTACAGTACTGGAGGATTTGGATTTGTGATGCGCAGATCCAAGATATCCTCCAACGACCACTCCTGCGGAATTCTTCGTGGAGTGGTGCAGTTTTGACACGAAGTCTAACTTGCTCTCTTCATAGTACACGTTTTGTGTGGCTTTGCCATAAAAGGAGCACACATGATCGTGCGGCGCCACATGTACAGCTTCGGCGCTAGAGCGAATGACCCTGCCCAACGTGAGGATGCCGACCAGGCCTTCGGCCGTGGTCCCGTGTCCCCAAAGATAATAGCAGTTGGTCTGCTCTTCAGGTCCTGGCATATGTGCCACTGGAAACTCCCAAACATGCAATGCTTCTTGGGGCATGGCATACGCCTTGGCATCATGCTGAAAAATTGCCTTATATGGTATCTTGCTGGCCAAAATGGACCGGGCAAGAGTGACAATCTCCCGTTGGCCAATAGGAATCACAGGCAGAAAAGGTCGGTCTGCCTGGCCAAATCGGGTCAACAAAAATTTCAGCACATCCTCAACATCCTCTTTGAGGATTTTGGAAACTGGCAATGAACGTTGCCGAGTAAAAGTGATGCGATCAGTGAATCTTCGCATATGAGAATGTGGGATAATAGGCCACGTATGCAAGCCTTCAGTTGTGAGAAAATTCTCATGATAATGCAAAACAAAGAACATATACGCCAAGAGAGAACTCATTCCCTCCTCATAGAAATCGACAGCATTGCGGCCTTTGGCTCGAGCTGTGATTTGCTCTCGCAGTTGTTCATAGCTGCTGCGATGAGCAGCATGAAATAGCTGTTCCTCATCAACAGAAATCAAACCGGATTGAGCAGGAGGAACTGGGCTCTTTGGAGCCGGATTCTTGGGAGGTGTCTTGGGCGACGTGTTCTTGTGAAACTCCGGTGAGACAGCTGCCGCGACAGGCTCCTTGTTCTCCAAAATCGGGCCTGTCTCCGGTTTGCTTTGTGCATTGCCGGGAGCTCTAAAAGCTTGAGCAGCTTGATGTAATGCATCAGTAGCTGCTTGAGAATGCGAAGCAGGAGCTTGAACTCTGGGTGTTACTGGCCTTTGGCTCAGATTCCCAGCAGGAACACTAGGTACCCATTGCCCCGGCGGTCGCTGTGGACTGTTGCTGGGCCCTTTGTTTTCATGAGGCCGAGAACGGACAGAAGCCGGCTCAATAGATCTCGGTCTAGGCCGGGGTGGCATGTTTTCTAAGCTGGCCGAACGAAAAGGTGGGCGCATCGGAGGAACAGCACTGACCGACCTTGTTGGTGGTCGAGTAGGAGGCTGAGGGGGAGGCAGAACTGGTCGAACTGGGGCCGCGGGAGGTCCCTCAGGGTGACGTTCATGCCGATGATGTCGACGCCGTCGTCGTCTCGAGCGACTGCGATCATGACGCTCACGGCTGGGGTGAGTAGACTTGGCCGGCTCCCCCGGTGTGAGTTGAATTGGAAGCGGAGCTCGAGGTGGTGGGTGTACCGAAACCGACCGAGCTCTGCTAGCTTCCTGAGGAGTCGAAAGAATTGTAACCGGAGGTTGCGGTCCGCTTGAAGTCTGCACTCCAGGGGGTCCTCCGTAGAAGTGAAAATGGTATTGCTGGGCCATGGCTCTGGGTTGAAATATTCCTCCAACAGGCCGATATCCAGCTGAAAACCAATGCAGCTATGGTACTGAATCAGTAGCTCACGTGCACAATTAGGGACAAAAACATTGCAAAGAGGCAGCGAAACTCTCAATCGACAGACTTATTTGCTGACTTCATTGCAACGCATTCACAGGAAAACCTGCCTGTACATACAGTTGCTTGAGTCTGCGAAGTTGTCCCGGTCTTGACTCGGGGGGCCAGGAGTACTGGCGAATCAAAGATGCTCGAGAAAAGTATCCCGAGGCTGCCAGCTGCCACGATCCAGCGCTGTTGGGCGAGCGGATCTGCCATGGTTGCTCCGGGAGATTAAAAGTTGCTGAGCGAGTCTTGGCGCAAATGGTCAAACCCAACCATTGATGGTCTGACACAGTTTCCAACTGAATCCCATCATAAAAGTTAGGATCGCAGAATCTCCGGAGTTGGGACGACAGTAGAATTTTCTGAGGTCCCAGAATCAGTCTGTTATCGACGTAACGGAGAAACAAGAAAGACGATTGGATGGCCGTCGGCAAAGACTGCAAAAACTGCCGCTCGGCCAGGAGTACAGGAAGTCCGGAGAGGATCGGCGATATTTGATTGCCTATACACGTCCCCTCCACTTGCTGCCTGCACTTTCCAGCAGCTGTAAAAACTCCCGTGGCGAAGGATAGATCCACAATCAGCGGAACATCAGAAACCCAACACCTCTTTAAGTTTGATTTCGTTCTCCCCCGAGGTTTGCCCGGGTGTCCCGTTTTTGACAACATATCGATCGAGAGGATCGAACAGCCAGAAGTTTGGCAGTATTCTTGGACAATCAAATGCACTGCGTGCATGATGTCTTTTCGGGGAACTGCATTGAAAAATCCCACGAGATCGTCGTTCCATTCGACGTCTTCCTCTTGGCTGGGCTTCGCCCAATAAGCATGAAGAGACCTCCAGAGCTGTGGCATGCTCTGCATGCCTGGGCTGTCAGCAAACAGCGTCTTGACCATTAAGGTTAACGCAATGGAGGTCAGCTCCAATAGCTTGCTGCACAACGAATTGGAATACGAAATGATGGTCCGTCCCTTGGCAAACTGTTTCTTCCGTTTCAGGAACACAGTGCCTTGAGGCAGCGGAGCTGTTTCTTTGAAGGCCCAGGCGTATCTTCTGGACAGATCTCGAGGAACGCGCTCCAAAATGCGCTGTCTCCATTCTTCAGGGGTACCATCAAGAGTACGAAACACAGAGGGATCGTTCCAAGTGGTGCTAACTCCTCGAAGGAAGAAGCGAGGACAATAGCACAAGACATGATTCGGATGATGATCTTCGTTGTACAGAACAAAATCTGAGTGCAAGGCAGACTTCACCTTCTGTACCAAAGCCCAGTGTAGTCTGTCTGATTGTTCCAGGGCTGCAACATGTTGCTGCCACTGGTGGTCACAAAAGGATTGAAAAATTGGATGCAACGTCGCTGGTAGCTTGTGTCTCTTGAGCCACTGATCAAACAGAGCTCTGGACTTGGCCATCCAGTGATTGCGGCCTGGGAAAAAGGTGCTCGCGGCACTGGCCGATAAGATGCTCGAACAGCCTGGTAGTAGCTTGGTCAGGTTCTCCAAACCTGTGGCTACGTGGCCAGACACGAAGCAATGAGCAGGAAGTTTTCCTGCAAACTGCTCACACGGACAGTGCACCGACTCCAAATCAAAGTCGTGCTCCCACATCGTTTCTTCCCAAGATCGGAAGTTGTGGAGAAATTTCTTGATACTCAGGTGCGGAACTTCACGTAGGCTGTTCTTTGGAACATGAAAAGATGGAAATAGATACTTGTACCGGAGGATGAGGTCTTTTAACCACTTCTCGCACTCCTTGGAAAACGAAGGAGACGCAGTTGGCAGGACTCCCAAAGGTCGGGAAGTCCGTGGCCAGTGCATCTTCTTGCGAAACTTGGCTACACCTTTGAGTATTCCTTGCACCCTGTTGCGATGAGGGTTTTCGATATTGCGACTGAGTTTGATGAGGGCATACACTTCCTCGTCAGCCGTCTTGTTGGATCGGAGCAGCTTCGCTGTTTCAAAGGATGCTCGGGTTCTCGATGCCAGCTTAAACAGAAGCCCCCAGGCTAACTCCCGAGAGTCATGAATGAAGAATTTCGAACTGCGACCAAACATGCGCTTTCGCAGTTTGCGCCAAAGTCGGAGGCCAAAGGTGCAATACAATGACCCTCTGTGTTTGGACGAAATTCGGAAACCGAGAGCGGTCTTCTTAATGAGAGACATTGCTCTGGGATAATTCAAAGGTGCCTGCCATTGAGCAATGAGTTCGTGCTCAACAGTCCAAGCTCGCTGGTAGCTGTCACAAAATTCCAGCGGAACAAGCACAAACTGGAAAAGGTTGTGTTGGGATGCCCAATATCTCAGGGACAATTCTGCATCCACAAATTCGGTTCTTTGAAGTCTTCTGTAGACTGCCATGCGGTTCAAATGCCGCTTGGCTGCACCGACAGCAGTGCTTCCCACATACAGAAGTGATGAGGGCTGACGGTAGCCCGAACGAAATCGACCCATGTCGAAATCAACTTGAAAAATGCAATATACAGTGTTCGGCTTCTCAAACAGAGAATAATGCAGAGTATCTGGATCCACTCCGAACTGCTGCAATCTCCGAACAATCTTGAATCTGTGTGAATCATCCTGGCTGGGTGCATTGAGGTAAAACAACAACACCAACGACATCAATGTATGCACCCAAATAAGCGGAGTCTTGGGTATTCCATCGCCAAACTCCAACATGAAAGCTGCTGCTGTACCAAGCGTGCACACTGCTGAAGCAAGCCTCTTACGGACCTGAATCGGCTGATGTTGCACCGTTTTTGCTTGGGTAGCTAGTCAAGCTGATTCAAACTGACATGCACCAATGAACGAAGACAAATTGGTGAATGACATCTTGCTGGCATGGCTTTTCTTCAAGCCGTACTTGATAGCGAGATCTGCAAGGCTTTGCCGATCAGTGGCTGAATCTTTCAGCACAGAGCAAACATCAGCCACATGTTTCTTAAAAGCTGCAGCTTGACCACGAAACTGGCTCTGATGCTTCTTGAGCCATTTTTCAACAACATCAGGGGAGCTGGAACTCGGAACAGAGTTCGGCGGATTCGGGAGTTCCGCATTCAAAATCTGCTCAGCTGACGGTGAAGGTGAAGCGGTGGGCTTTGGGCCAGTTTTGGCCTGCTTCTTCTCTGGAGTAAGAGCAATCCCAGCTTCCTTCAACTTTCGCTTCGCACGAGCAAGCTGTTCACTCTCAGGCGATTGCTGGCTTGAATCCGCCGGGGGAGGCGAATTGGCTTTGATTGTTGAAACAATTTCGCCAAGCAATGGTTGCATAAATCTCGCAGACTCCCTGTGCTTGTCAGGCGGAGCTGGGCCGTGCATATTTGCTGCCACGGCATCAAGATCAATCCGGTCTTGCCGAATGTGACGAAGCAGGTTAGTCACAAACACTGCTTCTGAAATCGACCTCACGAATACTAAGCTCTGAAATTCTCCATTGGACAAACAGCGGAGACTGAAGTCATCAAGACCTTTTCTCGTCAGGTCTGAGACACGAAGATCGGCGACATCTTTTCCAGCCAGTCCAGCTTTCGTAGACCAGGGCGTGGATTGGATGTTACGAAAGAACTTCTTGCCAGAAATAGCATTCTTGTCGTAACACTCCCAGTCACTGGTAAAAGACGATGGGATGGCAACATTGGTGCTGGGAACAGACTGTTGAGGGGATTTTTGCCAGTCACGGTTGTTCCAACCCGACGATCCTTTCTTCTCCCAAGACGAACTAGCCCAGGACGACTTGGCCCAATCTTGTTCACGGGTCCACGACATGATCGCAAAAGATTGCTACAGGTTTGTGTCTCGGAGCTGAAATCGTGGTCTGCGGATAGAAAAGCCGTTGGTTCCATCGGATCTGCAAAAATTCAGGACCTGCAATGAAACCTGGCATCAAACCTGACATTAAGTCAGGAGCAGAGAAAACATCGCGACTGAAGTAATCAGATGTCTGCACCATCGGAGCAGCAAATTCAGTCGGACCTGTGAGGACCACGACGGGCCCAAAACAATGTATCCCTGCCTTTATCAGATCCACCCTGGCAGGTACTCGCACGGGCTAACCCCGCCGCAGGTAGCGCGGTAAACGAATACAAGACCAGCTTGTAACTACCTGGGACACACTTAGACATCCATCGCGCAGCCACTAATCAATCTGGTTATCAAGCACAGCTTGATGTATCTCGAAAGCATGAAGCTTCCAGGGGGTCCGGTACCTATCTGGCCTCAAGGCTCATCTTCACTTGATCTCTGACTTTTCCACTGTACAAGGCAAAATCTCCCAGACATGCACATGAAACTGCACTGCACTCCTACTCGCAATCAACAGTTGTGTGGTCACAAGCTGCACGAAAGTGCCCATGCCGACCACTGCAGGTACGTTTACCTGTCTCAATATCCCGGAGCTTCGTTGGCAGAGGCCGTGAAATGAGACCCTCTGCCCCCTGCAATTTTCTGTAATTCAGCACAACTGTCCAACGTGTTTCAAAAACGGTTCCTCTTGGTAACAGAGGTCCACACACACACACACACACACTGTGACTGACTTGCAGACCAGTCATCCTTACCCCGATGAATGCTGTTTGTGCTCTGTTGCATCTTCTCTGGCTTTGGGTACTTGGTCACATTGCTCATTGTGGCCACTATGACTGGCAATAGCTTTGGGGGTATATTTGGGCGGCCACTTCAGCAGGTGGAAGATCTGGCGTCCCGGACTGCTTCACAGCGCTTGTATCATCGTCTTCGTTGGCAGTGGATGATAGAAGGCTCACTGCACGGCTGCTCGGCCCCAGATGCAATCAGGGTCGAGCGAGTAGGTACATTTGCACAGGCTCTCCAACGACGTCTTCGTTGACCACTGCTTTCCGGAGGCCTCGGTGGTCCCTTGCAAAAGATATTGTCGAATGAGTGGGTTGTCAACCCCTTATCTCATGAACGACTTGAGAAGAGGGCGACGAAAGCTACGGGAAAGGAAGCGTAGCTGGGAACACGGGGTGACTGGTGAGGCGATGCGAATGACTTGCACGGGGGGACGTTTGACATGAAGACTACAACTGAAAAAAGGCGTGGAGCCAGATTCTATCTCCGAGTTCTGGTGGCTTAGAGACAGAACATGTCAAGGCGCTGAAAGATTTCGAGAGAAGGGTAGTCTTTAGCAAATGCGCTAGCCGCCGACAATTGTTGCGAAATTCACCTGCACATGACACTGAAGCGCTGCGAGAGAGACGGAAGAGCTGGAGCCAAGCCGCAGCGCAAGCAACAGACTTCAAACAGAAGCAAACTGAGGGACCTTGCGAGGGGGGGGGGAGGGGGAGAGACTTGAGGGTAGGGGAGAGGGCCCCCCCCCTCTACCTTATCCGACGCGCCGCAACCTTCAAGGAGGGAGGGGAGGGAGGGGTGGCGCGCCGCACCTTATCCTTCGAAGATACTTCATGAACGAGGTGAGGGGGGGGCGGCACCCCCTCCCCCCCCCACCCCCAACTTAACTCTTGGACGTCCGTTGAATTGCTAAAGGACAACTCCCGCAAGCTCAACAGAGCTAGCTTTCGTGAAAGAGGTTCTCACACATACACACACTCACTCAGTCACACACAGTGCCCCTTGACAGGGGCGCATGCCTGTTGAAAATCTTAGGGCAATGTGGTATGCTGCTGTGCGGTGATTCTGCCGTGTTCACTGGCATGACAAGTGTTCCCTTCAGCTGTGACAACGCGTGTGCCTGGTGACCAGCCATGGTCAGTGGCAGACTGGTGTTCCTGCCCTGGTTGTGCTGTCGGTACCGCTGCATCGTGCCACCGGCATCGGGGCACACGTTCGTGCAGGTGATGTTGCTGATGTGCTTCAACTGACATATGCCGAATTTTTGCATATATATGGCGAATCCGACCGATTGTGCTTTGAAGAATGCGTTAGCACTCTACCGCAAACCTTATGTCAGATGCATATGCCCTCCTGTGCAAAGGCAGAATAGAGAGCATGGAAATACGAATAAGCGGGACAGACGAGCTGGTGGAGGGCTCACAGACCACTCTAGAATTACCAGAGTCGTACGTTGTCTACCCTCTTCGCGAGTGAGAAGGTTTCAGTAAATAATACCCACAGCGAGAACTCAGGTGAGTAGGTGAGTAGGTGAAGGGGAGGGAGAGAGAGAGAGAGAGAGAGAGAGAGAGAGAGAGAGAGAGAGAGAGAGAGAGAGAGAGAGAGAGAGAGAGAGAGAGAGAGAGAGGAGAGAGAGAGAGAGACAGAGAGAGAGAGAGAGAAGCACCCCAAAGGGTGGAGGAATATCCCCTTCAACGAGGACTGCCTCCGATGGAGACCATGACGGAAAGCCGTTGTCGGTACACGGAGAAAGTGTTGGGTGCACTCTCGGACGGAGTCTCTGTTCAAGGTACTCTTGCTGGCTGTGTATGGCTGTGGCAAAACGTCTTCGTGTTCGTCGTCGTAATCCTCGTCCTCGTCGTCAGCTCCACTCCTCATTCACCAGTTGGCTCGACTGCCCCAGATGCGATAAGGGTGGAGAGAGCAGGTACGTTTGCACAGGGTTTTTGGGGAGGTCTTCGTTGACCACCGCTCCCCCGGTGGTCGCCTGAAAAGGTTGGCGAAAAATGGTTGTGAGCCCCTTATCTCATGAAGGAGAGGTTCACACACACACACACACACACAGACACCCAGAGACACCCAGAGACACACACACACACACACACACATCCCTCTTACGTGTCCTGCTGATCAAGCTCCAAAAGCTTCAGCCTCTCTTCCACACACTCCTCCTGCACGTCAGGTGTCCACACGCCTACGCTAGTCACAGGAGACTTTGTCCCTGCCTTCAGGCTGTTGGAGAGTGCTTCCAGCGGGGCCAGGACACGGTTTGACAGATTGGCCGCCAAGTCAGCCAAAGCCTGTCCGATGTCATGGAATGCGTCGATCATGGCCTTGGTCCCAGAAGCTGCTGGAGGATCTTTGTCCTCGAGTTGTTTCTGGAAGGTCGTGTCTGCCGCGATGCTCTTGGTACTCCGCAGAAGGCCTGCCGCAGCAGCCTGAATCGACTTTCCAGCCACGCGAGTGGCGTGCAACAGCGGGGCGAGGCTTGTTACGCGAGCGACCAGCAGAGCATCTGCAGAAGCTGCATCTCGCAGCTCCTGAGACCCCCCGCTTCCACGGCCTTCAAGGTAGGCTTCCCCGCGTCGAGCACTCGGCGCAGGTTTAGGCCGGGCTGAACGAATCTTGCGTGTAAGTTCTTCATCCAGCCCTGCAAGTGCCATTGCTACCGTGGGAACGAAACCTTCCGTCGGCAAAACGGCTCCTAAGATACAATGCCATCGCGCATGGTTCCTTCATGATCACTGAGTGCTACTGCCTCAGCTCTCTTCCGATTGCAGGTCTCAGGCAGGTCTCCGGCTTCAGGTCCCGATAAATGATCTTCTTTCCTCCGTTAGAAGCCAAGGAAGAAGTCACACTTCTAGAGCTCTTTTTTGATACAGAACTCACTGCAGCCCTGCATCCATGAAGATGGTCGAAGGCCAAGACCACGCCAGCAACATAGAACTTTGCAAAGTTGTCCTTCAATCAGAAGGACTACTGGCGGAGCTACCGCATACGCCGCGTGCTTCACCAAGGTCGCTTTTGTCGGCTGATGGGCTGGCCGACACATCTTGTCTCCAAGACTCGCCCCCCGGTATTCAGGGGGCTCCTACATTCCATCTCTATACATTTGTAACCATTTGTACATGCCGATGCCTTGCTCGACGAGCAGCATCGTAAAGCCCCACACTACGTGGAAACGTCACCTCCAAACGGCCCGGAGAACGAAAGGATACCCTCAGAGATGGGAAAAGGCTTCTTTTCGTGCCTGCATCAGCTTTCCGCGAGTGCCTCCAGGCCCGACTTCTTCGAGCCCTTTCTGCCCCTCGGCTAAATGCGGCGCCCCTAAAAGCAGCCCTCCAGCCCTTGCTGTCGGTTCCATAAGCCTCGCCCAGCGGCCGCTGTGATCCAGGGGAGGTCGGAATCTCCAAACCGAGAGCCAAGCGCCCTTCCGAGACTTCCTTCTTCTCTGTGCCCTGGGCGGAAGGGCGGCAAAACGGGCTTTTCCTTCCGGACTGGGCAGGTGCCAGTGCTGAGCTCGGGACCGAAAGCATCGAGGAAGTCCTGGGGCAGCTACCGCAGCACGTTGCAGCAAAGCCAAAGCCGACTTCCCGAGGCGGCAGCTTGGGACCCACAAAGGATGCGAAAAGCTCCATGATCTCCACATCTTCATCGTCGAAGTACTCCAGCTGCCCATCATAAGCGACCTGTGTGCTCACGATTAGCACAACGTAAACCGTACAAGCTCTCTCTGTCTGTCTGCCGGGCTTCGGGATCAGTTAGCGCGCCCGCTCCCCCCATTCCCCCATTGTGGTAGTGACAGGGGGGCGACATTGGGGCTTGCGGTCGCTTTCGGCAGCGGCAAAGAACTACAAACCACGGGGAGGAGCCCCCCCCCACCCTGTACGCCAACTACCGAGAGAAACCCCGCCCCGCTGGCACCCGTCATAGCTCCCCGCTCTGGAAGAAGTTGAACATGCAGCATATCCCCATGCAATCGTAGTAGCCTGTGGCGTTATGTTCCCCCCAGAAAGACTTCACAAACACAAGGTTTCTCACTCTCTCTCTCCCTCCACCTTGTTGATCATCTGAATGACGCCGACGACGTGAGAGGTGTGAGACTCACCCCTTGCAATGATCGGGACAGCCAGGATACTCCTGGTCCGGTAGCCTGATTTGCCATGCACTTGCACAGATTGTCTCTCAAAGGGTTGAATTGAAATCCTGCCTGTCTGGATGTCCACTTGCTTGTTGAAGCGCGGATCAGCGTATGCATCCTTGGGCCGCAGCTCTGCTTGAGTGCCTACAAAATGCAAGCCTCAGCGGCCAGAAGCCACTGCATCCGTACACCAGAGGGTTGCATGTTTCGACAAGACATGCGCGGACACGCGGCACAAATAAAGCGGGTGGGTTGGATTTTGGCGTACAGGCGAGACACAATGTGCCCGTTCACCCATATGAGTTAGGAATATAATTTCGGAACACTTTGGCCCTGAAAATCCAAAATTCTGCATGCGCGAAAAGTGTCGGTGCACCAGACATTGGTTGGAACTGTGGTCGCGCTGTGTCGCGCCACCACTCAGTGGACGAGAAGCACACGCGAAGACGATATCACTTCATCCTTGTGGTCTTTCTCGTTATCACCGGCAGCATCAGCTCCACCGTCATCGTCATCATGATCATCCACGTCAACATCTCCCACCCCGGCAAGTGGTGCCGAAACTACAGTTTCGAGAATGCCGTGCAACACAGAAAGGTGGTTACTACTACTATGCTGACAATGGTGAAGTCGACGCAGATGAATTCATGCACCTCTCTTAATGACTTGCGAGCCCAACCCCAGCCCCCCGCTTTCAGGACGTCTTGGAAAGCGATTCCAGCACATAGCTTGGACTTATTGGGCGTAGGCGTCCTCGTGCTGGCACGGTCCGGTGTGCAGTTTGTGCGGTGCTTAAAGCTGCCAAAGAATCAGGGATGTTGATGACCCTTCCTTGGCAGCAGCATTCTCCAGCAATACCTTAGTCTTAGTTTGGAAACTGTAAGAGTTGGTGAGCACCTGGTGTGCTTCTCGACACAAAGCCGCGCAGCCCTTGTCTTTGGGTATGCGGATCTCTGCCCCGGTGTCCGTGGAGACGGACCAGAGCTGCTGCGCCGCCTCGTCAAGGAGGAAGACGCTGCACCTTGTGGAACGCTACACAAATCTGCGATGCTCTGCGGTCTGCGGCTCTGTAAAGTCACCCGCCTCTGTGCACTGCACACTTTGCTCCTGAGTAGCTCTGTTCGACCACACTCTCAGCTGTTCCATGTTGTGTTCTAGTCTGCATAAGCCACCAAGGGGCGCGTGCATCGTGACCATCAGGAGCAGAGACTGAGGGCCTAGATCCTGTGGCAGGGCTCCTATGCGTAGGCTCCGAGCCCCTTCAAAGTGGCAATGGCTCCTGTGACATGCTCTGGATGGTGTTGAGCAAGCCCGTGGCACGATCGCTGCAGTTGATGGCCTGTTTGCGCAGGGTTGCAGCAGACCCTCTGACACCTGAAACCCAGAAGTACAATTTAATCTGCTGCTCCGCCTCGCGGTACACTTCCGCGTTCTGGAGGGCGATTGCTATATGCTCGGCCAAGTGCAGGAGCATTCGCCTCAGATGCTGCCACTTGACTCGACCATCGGGCACAACCTGTTCGAAGGCAAGCGATTGATGGAAACAGGGCACTCATCCTGTCTGGAGAAAGGAACGGCGAGCTTGCCTCTTGGCCGGATCTCGGCATCAAAGCCGCTAGGCATCTTGTTGATAGCCTCTTGAGCAACTGGAATCATCATCGAAGCTGACCCGATGAATGTAAGTAAGTCTCTAAATGCTCCATTGCCTGGATGACTCCGGTGCACTGGCCCTCAAAGTCCACAATCGGAACCTTGGCCCCCGCATAAATCGATCGAGGAGTCCAAACACCTTTCCTCAAAGCTCTGCTTTCCTCAAAGCTCTCGCATCCACACCAGCAGAAGACATCATGATCGTCATAATTTCAAAGCCACCACGATCATGCTTCTGGTGTGGTAGCCCGTGTCTTGGTCGAACGACTGGTCAAAGCGGCTGTCCTGGGACTTTATCAGATCAGCATCGGTGAAGGCAGAAACAGGAAGAAGCATGACTTCGCTCACGAAATTGAGTGGAATGTTGCAAGAGTAGTCCTTCCTTTTTCGACAACAACTGACACGCACAAACGCTCTGATAGATGTGAAACACTGGGTTCAAAAACTCCCCGTTCTCCGTCGTATGCTGCAGGACAGCAACGCCTGTAGTTGAGGTGCGTAATCGACTGTGCCTCATGGTGACCAAGCTGCCAACCAAGGCCCGGATTGCACGCATTCGTGTGTCTGGGCACATCAGATCCGTGCTTCTACCACTGCCTCGAAGTGTTCAGACTCATCGTCCCGGTCCGCATCTGCGGCGGAGTTGTCACTTGAGCCATCTCCATCGCCATGCTCATCGAGGTCCGCAAGGAGCTCCTCGACCTGGATGGAATTCTGTGTCGAGGTGGGGGAACCCAAGCTGGAATCATCGTCTGAGCTCTGCCTAGTGGAATTGGAGAAGTTCTGAAGATACTCGTGCATGGCTTCGATGCGACTCCCGAAATACTGCGGTGGGAAGTAGACGTCGCGAGCGTTTATCAACTTCTCGCCCAAACGCTGCAACCTGAGCAAGTGCCTTTCACGCGGCTTCTGCATGCGGAGCCTCAGCATCTGCACCAGCATACTACCATAAAGACCCGTGAGCGCATGCACAACACGCAACTTGTCGCACAGAACATGTTCTCCCGTTGCGGTTTTGTGCTGCCGAACGCAGCAGTCCAGTTCGCCAGAATATACGTCCAATAAGTCCACGAACTGGTTCTGCATGCCATCTTCATCCATGAACGGCAGCGGCTGCAGCCCACCTCCACTAGTCAAATACACTCGCTGTCTTAAACCTTCTTCAGAGTCGGTGGGCACCATATCCACGCTCACCGTTCGAGCCATGCTCCGTGAAACCAGAAAGCTTGCATCCGTGTCTGTCCAATGGTGGCTCATGGCCGTCAGAACGGCACAAAAAACTTCACAACGACACCAGAACCGGCTCGAATAGGATGCAAAATTACAAGGGCACTTCCGCTCGGCATGCATCGCCTCAGGGGCCACGATGATGAATGCTGAGCAGGCTGCGACATACCTTAGGCCGCAAACGTGGGGCATGAGCATCTGCATTTGAAGCTGCTGTCACTACTGATGCAAAAACTGGCACTGACACGAACAGAAGAGGGCCGAGCGGCGCCGGTAGAGAGTTGATGGCAAGCTGCTGCTGCTCAGCAGAACACTGCGGAATGCTACAGTAATCAACCCAGACAAAGATGTTGCTGATTGATAAGCGTCGCACCCGCACCATATCCTCAATAGCCCTCACCATAGCAGTGTACTGACGCTCATCCGGATCTGGAAGCTGTGCGGAAAGCCATTGATGCGAGAAGAAAACAATGCAACCTTTCCTGCGAAGTTTTGCTGCCGCGCGGGGAGTATCCAGCATGAGCAATAAGTTCTTGTCTCGCAACCATTCATGCTGTGCCAACCTGCCGAGCTTCTTGAACTCCTGGGCTCGAACGAGTGCCAAGGGGAATTGCATCATTCTGGAGGCCTTGATGAGTTTTCGGGCATCGCTTACATACTGCTTGTACTCGAGCTCTTCTGCCATGGCTTGTTTGTCGCGGTCCTTGATGACTTCCAAATAAAAGGCATTTCCAGTCATCAACAACACATCACAGAACAAGGCCACGATCACCGTGGCTTCTGCTGTGACGTCCAGTGGCTCCGCACCAAGCAATGTCTCAATCAATTCTTGACGAACAAAGTGGGAAACCGGCAGCATGCCGAAGTAATGTACCACACTCGCAAGTGTCGCCACCAGGCACGAACCGGCACATCGCCAGAGTGTCTTGTTGGGCAGATTACC